ACATTTGTATGTTCTAAAAGTTGTTGGTGTAATTAATTCTTGAAGCATCTACAGAATGATGGCCTGTCTGGTTTTTCAGGGTCCACAGTTCTAACAGTTTCGACAAAGTCCACTTGGGTGCCACATGATGGTGCAACACTTCCCCTATGATGTTTTGAAATGTTGAGATTTTAAAGGTGATTTTGAAGCACAGTGTTGCTAGGCAACACTTAGACAGCTTGTTTAAAGATGTGATGCAGGGAGGAGGATGCTGACACGGGGGAGTTGTGGCGCAGAGGTTAGAAGAGGCGAGCCTGTGGTCCGAATGTCACCGGTTCAATTCCATGGACCGACAACATTGAGATGTGGGTGAAAAAGGTGAAGGACCCACACCTGTCTCCACCCTCATTTACCCCACACTGGGCCCTTGAGCAAAGCCCTTAACCCCTACCATCTGCTCTCCCGGGTACCCTTGATAGCAGCTCTCTGCTCCACACAGGACTGTGGTAGCTCGCTGGTCTGCGGTTGTGACAGGATCTGGCGTAAAAATAATCATCAAGTCTTCATGTGAGTTGGTTTGCTGTGGCGACCCCTGAAGAAGGGAGCAGCCGAAAGAAAAGAACATTAAAGATGTGATGCAAGAATGCTTGACGGGTCAAAGCTTGAACGTTGTTCCAATGTGCACTAAAACTTGCTAACAGATTATATCAGGGCAAACTGTAATCAATTAACAGGCATAAAAGTATTTTTGATTTGTGATAAAGCATTTTTCTGGAATTTCCCTTTATTTTATTTTATTGTATGATCTAGGGCAGCACGGTGAGTGGCGCAGTTGGTAGAGCTGCTGCCTCTCAGCAAGCAGGTCGCCCCAGTTCAGAACCCGGCCGCGGGCCTTTCTGGGTGGAGTTTGCATGTTCTCTCCGTGCATGCGTGGGTTTTCTCCGGGTACTTGGGTTTCTTCCCACAGACCAAAAACATGCATGTTAGGCTGATTGGTAACTCTAAATCGTCCCAAGGTGTGAGTGAATTGTTGCTCGTCTGATTTGTGTCCCTGTGATGGACTGGAGACCTGTCCAGGGTGTCCCCCACTTCTCGCACAGTGATGGCTGGATATGGGCACCAGTGACACCCATGACCCAAAATGGAATAAGCGGGTAAAGATAATGGATGGATGGATGGATGGATGGATGGATGGATGGATGGATGGATGGATGGATGGATGGATTGATGGATGGATGAGGAAATCAGTATAAAACTGGCATTAAACATGGTGGGTAACATGTTTTTCTTTAAGAAATGTGAACTTTTAAGTTTTTTTTTTCTTTTTGACATTACGTTATTACCATTTATAAAAGTAATTAGACTTGCTGATGATCAGTCAAAGCACCACCTGCCTGCTACTTACCCTACAAATATTAATAAAAATATGGTTAAGGATGTGCTTAACGATTTTCACACTACTTTCTCATTTCAGCTCAATTTCAGTCCCACAAAAAAGTGCAGCATTTATTGCGCTTGGCTCTGTCCAATTCATTTATATGGCCTTGTCATTCTCAGAAATCCACATAGTTTAACATTTTGGAAAGAATGTGAAAAGTGTGGCTTTAAAAAAAAAAACATTTATGAAGAGAGGCCTGTAGAGGGAGTCATTCCCTGGAGTCAAAACTATAATATTCATGTAGCTCATGTCCTCAGATCTGTTCTTCTGTGGAAAGTGGGTCAAACAAGTGTTTTAAAAGTAACCTCACTAAAGGTGTTCTGATAAATAACCTCTAAACACATTTAACATGAACACAAAAGAAAAGCAAAAAGGCAAAAAAGAGCATGCTTTTGTTTATGTCTTCTGTTTATGTGTCCGTTAGCGTAATAATTCAGGAACCACTGAATGGATTCGAATGAAATTTTCACAAAGAAGTCTTTGGGTGTACTTTTAAAAGTGATTAACTTTTAGAGTCAACTCATTATAATGGGGCTGCTACAACACAGCAAACTTGTACCTCTGTCAGATTTAACAATAGAGAGATAAAATTTGGTGTGATAGTAGTTGAGACTGATCTCTAACTTATACATAATATGAAAATGTCTAAAACCCATTCGATTTGGCAGATATTGAGTTAAAATCGGGCTGCCACAGTGCATCAGCCTTTACCTTCACAAAAATTGTGATTTTTACAGATTTTAAGTTAAAACAGGTGTGGTAGTCCTCAACAGTCATTAATAACATGTACTCCAAGATCTAACAGATCATACCAGATATTGCAATATTGCATATTTATAATGTTAATGTCATGGTTAGGATAAATAGCTTCAACTTACAGAATGGTCTTAAATTAAACTGGGACATGAAAAGCAGAGGTCGATATGCGTTCCTTCAAGAAATGCTGGCTTAATTTGTTTCCATATGTGACTTGATACTCCTTGCTGATTATCCATGCTGCTGATCCATGCTGCTGATCTCTTGCCTTTAAGCTGCTGTATTCAGACCCATCTGCTCACTACAGACTCATGTTCAGGCTGCTGTTTAATACACAGTATTATTTTACATTATTAGTGTTTAGCGTATGTCGCTCAGTGTTTGTTTAGCGCACGTCTTAGATCCTTGTGTTTCTTTTTATACTTTATATTTTTTTCTATTTTTGGGTGTCCTTGAGTACACAATTTTAGTCCACCTCATGTACCACATGTGATGCAAATGACAATAAAGAACCTTGAACCTTAAAACTGCAAAACAGGCTACATTTTAGAGTTTGAGAATCTGAATATATTTGCTTTTTGTACTTTTATTGATACAATCGCTTCAATTTTTCATCAAAACTAACAGTAGGTGTTTCAGTTCTTCTTCTGCGAGTTAAGCAGACATACCAACTATTATTAATCAGGCAATGAAAAGAATGTACCAGCATGGTGATGAACGCAGCATTTACTTCCTTGCTCGGATTCTGACAGTTTTTGGAAAACTAGAAGGTGGCACAAGCTTTGAAGGAGAACTGAAGTTCTCTTTTGGTCCCAGTAAGGTTTGGAAGACATCACCTCGAAACCCAAGTGTTCAATTTTATGTGAGCTTCCAGTTTTTCTTCCCTCAGTCACAAAATAAGATCTTAATCGAGTCCTTGCATACAGAACAAATCTCTACAACTGATTCAGGTTGAGTCATGCTGATGATAGTCACTGAAGCTAGGGCAGTGTCGTTTCCTCGGGTGTTTTGTCCTCCTGCCGTTCTGGTTTTTCAAGTCCGTCAAGTGCAAAAAGGTTAGCCAGGTGGAAGAACATGGGAGGGAAATGCTATACTTTGAATATACGCTGAGGCTGAAAAAGATCAGATTAGGCAAGAAAAAAATAGCATCTTATTAGCCTAGAACGTTGCTAAAATTCTTTATTTTAATTCTTATCTAATCAATAACGTTACAAAGTGAGTTTTAATGTCGCTTTCTTTGTTAAAGTGTGACATTTGAGCCTGTTTTTGAGTGAACGTTGCAAAAAAATAAAAAAAAAACAGAAACCCCTGAACTGGAATGGACAGATAAATAACCCACTTATCCACACCTTGATAAAATCCTGCACACTTATGTTCATGTGTACACGCAAACAATTTGACACTACACAGGCAAATACACATACTAAACCTAGTTCTAAATAAAAAAAACCTTCCATTGGGTAATGATGAAAACATGATTAGGCTTGCAGAAAAACTCATGTCACTGAGTCAGTGAGAACAAATATAAGCGTAATGACAGATTGGATGCAGTTTTTATTACATTTGACTTCCCTATAATTCCCATCTGAGGGGCTATGCTTAAATTATTTTTCAAGTAAGCATCATTGGTTTTGATGAGCACAATTAAAAGACTATTTTTAAGCACAAATGCAAATTAGCGCATATTTATTCAGCAACGAGAAACATGTAGAATGAAATTTGACTTCACGAGGTGGGGAAGATAAGCCATTTAACTTTTTTGATTGTTTTGAACAGCGTTCCATTATATGCTAAATTAAAGGAACTCCTTGTAATGTCAGGAAGGCAGTTCAGAAATATGCATAATGTAAGAACCAAAATCCACACCTGTTTTTTTTCTTCTTATATATCAATGTGTCCTTAAATAAAATAAATCTTAAAATTTGTATTATGTTGACATTGAGTGCATACACACATTTCAGAATTGCATATTTGTTAAACAGCTGGAATAACCTCGCAGGATAGTCTTTTTATGTTTGATTTCATAGTTTGCTATGAAGGACCTCTAAATTTTGAAGCCACACACAATGTCTTTGTTTGAATGCAGCCTACAAATTTTTGTTTAAACGTTTACAGTAATCGTTATTTAAAAAAAGGCTATTTTTGAAGTCATTTTTTGTGAAAGACAGACTTGAAGATACACAGTGAAGCATATGTCATTAGGGCACTATAACCCCCAAGGCCACACTGAGTAAATGGAGCAGTCTTAATTTTTCTCCTGTATTTACATATTTGTAGGCCCTGCTCATTGCAATAAAGAAACATTCTGGTCATAATTTCCCAGGGAATGTTTATCATCTTGGAGTCTGAATTTAGTTCAGATCTCTGACCTGAACACAAATTTAAAGCTCTAACATTGAAGGAAAATTATCTTAGCCGACATTATTTACTCATTATTAAGTTAGTTTAAAATACTGTCTTAGAATAGCATTTAATCTGAAGTTAATCATTGCTTTTCGGTGAAGTTTAATCGCATATCTGCGTGTTATTCCTTAATATCCCGTCCCGATCTGTGCCCGCACACATTCCTGTCATAAAACCCACAGGCGGACGGAATAAACCATTTTATGGGGTGAGCGTTCCCAGTCTTCTGATATCTTTCCAGAAAAAATACACAACTGGAGTTTTATAGGAAATCATGTTTGAAGGTAATAATTTATGTACACGCTTTGCATCGTTTGATTATCAAAATGATTTAGTTTTTCAACTACATAAAACAAAGTTTGGATAGGTAACCCCTCCAAATTCCCAAAAGATGGAATCGTCCGGCCTCTGCCATGTTGGATGTAACTGGCTCCGGGCTCTATAACGCCAGCGCTTCCAAGTAAACTTTTAGCGTGTTCCGTCTGTCGCGCTCCACTTTTCGGCTTATTTTGAGACGCTAAGGGAAGTCAGAACCACATTCCTGAGCAGCATACATTTTCCGGAAACCAAATAGCGTGGAGAGACGCGGGACAAACCGGCGTGAGAGGTCGGAGAAAGGCCACGGATGACCCAGGGATTGTTTATGTATCATCGGATCTCGTACAACGAGTTTAGTAGCTGCAGACTCCATAAATTGATCCCTAATAATGAGTGGACATCCGCCGCCACGGCGGCAAGCAAATGTCGGCTCCCTGCTTCTGACACGAGAGGAAAATGACTGCATTTTCAACTACCTTGGCAGGAAATGCATCGTAAGTTACTTTCCCCCTCATTTAACTGCTGTGTTAGCTTGTCGTTAAAAAGCTGTCACTAGCTAGCTAAGCTAGCTAGCAAGCTAGCTAACCGACTGACAGAAATTAGCGTTAATAACGTTGGAGCTGTTCAAAGGAGTTATTTTGCACTGGCATTACATAATAACGTGGATGAACCTTGGTTGTTTTCGGGAAGTGTGTTCACCCAGAAGAATGTGCCGAAGAGCTTGGAGCAGCAGAGACTTGCTCAAGGCTTTTTGCCAGCTACAAAATCTGACAAAGCGATGGGGAGTCGCCTTCTGTTCCTGTGTGACTTCGAGATCACGACTCATTAAGATCAGATTGGTTTAAATCGGACATAACTGAGACATTCAGCATTCATCAGATTATTTTCGTCCTTGTCTTGGACACTTTGTCTTAACGAGCCGCAAATATTCCAATTAATGTGGCATGTTCAGTCTGCTCCCTACTGTTTCAGCTCTGTAAAAGCCTTTCCCCTTTCTGTCATATCAATCTTTGCATAATTCAGGATTTCTCACCACTGATTTCCTCATCGGATTCATTTATGGCCAAGTCATCCTAATTTGCATCCACCTTCTGTTGGTTTTTAATGTTGATGCACACTTTTAGATGCAATTCTGATTTTGCTTAAAATATAGAACAGTTTGGGGTAATAAAGCAAACCCCTGCTAGATTTTATACCTAGATGTTGAATCACAGACCCAGACTTGTTAAATGCAGGTGCAGGTATTTCACACCTTTCTATTTCTTGTAGTTTTGATGATTATGGCTTACAGATAATGGAAAAACCAAAACTCGGTGCCTCTGAAAGTGAGAATACTATGACGAGGTTCAATGTAAACTCGGTGTCACACCCTAATTAGCTAAGTAACTCTTGGACATGAGCTACAAATGTCACATTCCTCAAGTCAAGCCCCTCCTGAACCAGCGACAACGTCAGAAGTGTCTTACCTGGGCTGAGGACATAAAGAACTGGACTGTTGCTCCGCGGTCACACTTTTCAGGTGAAACATCTGCGCATCGTTTGGAAATCAAGGTCCCAGAGTCTGGAGGAAGAGTAGAGAGGCCCGGGATCCACGTTGCTTCAAGTCCAGAGTGAAGTTTCCACAGTCTGAGGATTTGGGGTACTGTCATCTACTGGTGTTGGTCCACTGTGTTTTCTGAAGTCCACAGTCAACACAGCGTCTTCCAGGATATTTTAGAGACTTCATGCTTCCTTCTGCTGACCAGCTTTATGGAGATGATTTCAATTTCCAGCAGGACTCAACATCAGCCCACACTGCCAAAGGTACCAAAAGATGGAATATTCAAATTTTCTGAGACGCTGTGTTTTGGTTTTTCATTATCTGAAATTCATAATCATCAAAGTTACAAGAAATAAAGGCTTGAAATATTTCCCTCTATGTATAATGAAGCTATATAATAAGAGTTTCACTTTCTGAAATGAAAACAAACCACAAAAAGAGCTTTTTAATGATATTCTAATTTTTTTGAGATGCATCTCTACTCTGGGACATCAGATCAGTGTCTGTTTGCTTATCAGCCTTAAATTTGTGCTGTGGCTTATCATACATTTAGTTAATGTTTGAACGTTCCACCTCATAAAGGAATCCTATTAAATTAAACCTGACATTTGGTTAAAAACAAAGTAGTTTAAAGTAGAGGTTGACTGCTCATTTTTTGTCATTTTAATTTTACAACCCTTAGAATGTGTTCACTAAAAATAAGTCATTGAAGAGCATTCATACTTAAAAATGTAAAGGATAGGCTACAGTACGCTGATTGTTTGTTTTTCTACTTTGCAACGGATTATGTACAGACATGGCCAATTGACAATATTTTATTTTAAACTGTTTAGTGAATTAAAATGAGTAAATCTCTTTATAGACCTAATGTGATTGTGATACGATAAGAGCCTTGACACAGTTTCCTCTGCAGTGTTCTCTTTAGGCAGTTTGCTAAATGTTCATTGTCACTACATGAAAAGGCAGGTTTTTTTTTTACTTTAAAGTCGGGTCCTTTTGCTCTAAGCCAAATATGAAGCAATGTCAGAATTTTAGGGTTTTACCGTCAGACAATGCAGAAAGAAGAATGACGCAGGTCAGAGGTTTCTGCATCTTGCAACATAACAGCTGGAAGGAACGGTGCACCCTCACCTGTTACCTGTTACCTGTTTCCTAGACGGATAAGATCTGTTTTTAAAGTTACAGTATCGTATTGACAAGTCAACGTTATCGCTTCTTATAGAAGTAGGTTTTTATTGTTGAGTTTGGGAGGTTTTGTGCCAACATAAAAGAGACGAAATAAACATCTGTTGCTGTTTTGTATTAAGTCTTCCTGTCCTCTGGTTACTTCCACATAGTTGTCATTGTTTCCTGGAACTGAACTGTGAAGGTGTTTGAGGGACTGTTTCTTTCTTCCTGATTTAACGTGCAGCGGTCCAACCATGCTCCTGTTGCTTGAGGCGTTTGTGCGCACGTGTTTGCTTTTTTTGTAAAAAAATAAAAAGGCCGTTTCCTGTCTCATGACACTCCATGCTTGCATTAGGTCACCTGTTGGTACGCCCCGCCCTCACCTCCTCCTCCTTTACGTGAACGCACAGGTTTTCAAGGTGTGTCCCGCAACTATGTTTAGAATTTTCTGACTGCGCTTCTCTGGCATCCTAAGTTTTGCTGTTGCGGCATGTGACGAAGAGTCAGCACCGCTTGTCCCGCTCTTCCTTTGCATTTGTGTGAGAGATTGACTGATGAAGAGGGTGGAGTGGGAGGCTGGAAGTGACTGACTCTAACAAATCTAACTGAATTCCCAGCAGTGAGCGACGTGTTGGCTGGCCACATGTTTAACTTGCTTATGAGGCAGAAAATGTAAGAACCCTAAAGTCATCTTTAAAGTGTTTGCAGCGTTCTTGTTTTAAAATGGGCAGATTTACTGAAAGTGTGACAACAAAACAGGTCGCTCGTAGTTCGTGGAAAGCAGCGTGTGTGCTTCTTGAGACTGATTTTGGCAGCTGTTGTTTCCAATGTTCCTCCGGGATGAATTCTCTAATCAAATCATCCAGGACAGCAGTTTCCCTCAAATCTAATGGTTTAAACCGTTGTTGCTTAAAACGTATTATAACTTTTGTGTACATTACTAAATATGCCAAGTATTTCCTTCTGCATTTTTTTTTTTGTTTTTAAATAATGATCTCAAACCAGACTTCCTAACACAATACACTTACTGATTGGTTTTACTCCTTAGTATTCCTTGTGCCGTCTCCACCATCAGAAACCCTGTCTCACGGCTGAAGGTGGAATGGGTCCAGTTCAGTGTGTGTGTGTGTGTGTGTGTGTGTGTGTGTGCGTGTGTGTGTGTGTCCTGACTGCCTGATCAGCAGTCCTGTCCTACAGGAAGTCCTGTGGTCAGCCTCCTCTGGTGAATTTTATTTATTCTTTTCTGGAGAAAAGGAAAACTGTTCCTCTTATTACTCTTTTTTTTTTTTTCTTCTTTCAAATTTATTCCATCTGTGTCTTTTGCTTTTTACATTTTGTCAGTTTTTTGTTTTTTTAATAGTTTTTGCACTCTTTTTTTTCTCCTAACAATTCTGATTTACTGGTTTCTTACATTTTTCTCTACATTTCCCTCACTTCCTGTACATAATCTCTTTACGCTGTTTTTTTTTTTTTTTTTTTTTTTTTTTCTTTTAAATAATCTTTTTTTTCTTTTTTTTTTTTTTTTTTTTTTTGCTAATCGTTAAAAACAACCTTTTACCTTCTTGAGTATCTCAGTAGTTGAGGTGTGCAAATATTGGTTCAGAACATCCCTAATGTGAATAGATTTCCTATTTCTGACCATAGATTTTTTTTCTCCATATAATTGTCAATCTTATCTTGAAATAGTAAAAACATATATACATTACTGATTTCTGATTATCACGCATAGTTTTGATGAGTTTATTTAACTTGTGCATTTAGTTTCAAACAATTTTCCCCTTTGTAACAAAAAGGGTGCTTTTTTTGCTTTTTATCTATTTTGTGCATGACTTTGTGTCACCTTAGACAAATTGTGCTCTAAACTTATTTGTAGAGTGGAAATTGTTTTGCGTCACATCTTCACAGTTGTGGAAAGAGGTCATTTGTTCGTAGTTTTGGTTGAGCTTTGATGATGTCACAGCCTTGGTCTGGAACCGAAGGGCCCTAGAGTCCGGCTGCAACAAAAGTACATCACAAAACAGAATTCTCATCATTTCGTTCGTTTCTGATCCAAACCCAGGTGAGAGCATTACTGCACTCACCTGGGTTTGGTAAAAAATACTTATCGATTTGAATAAAAGTACCTCGTTCATCCAGAGCTAAATTGCCACTCTGAGTTCACATTTCCTTAATTTTTTTTACTGTTTTTAGATGAAACTATTGTGGTACATGCTGTGTATAATTTAACAGTATGTTTGCCAGTCCAGTACTGTAAATAGGAATTTGTTCTCAGTGTTTATGCCTGGTTAAATAAAGGGTTTTTTTGGTTTTTGCCGCGTCACTCAGTGTTTTAGTGGATTTTAAAGCTCTTGGCTCATGTAGCTCATTTTACTAAGAGTGCGTAATCGATTACCGTAATTTTTTATATGTTTTTTTTCTTTCTTAGGCTCTGATCTTCACATATTTTAATCTAATGGATTCCTTATAAACTTTAGTTTCCTGTGAATGAAGTGCAAGACACAGGTTGAGCTTTGAACAAACTGGTCATATAATACAGCAACTTTGCCTCTTTTTATATTCAACGTGTGTGAACTATGCACAGTCATTCCTGGAACTTGAGTTAAAAACGTGCCAAATTCAGCATCCAACGTTTCCCCTTGTCTGCTCTTTGCTTTCATGTGCATCAGAGTGGCTGTGAAACTGGACCCCTTTGTGCGAGAACACCCTGCAGCATAATGTAAAACCTGCGGGAGGTTAATCTGGCCTTATGCTCTTGTCTTGCAGGTGCTACAAGTGTGTAATAACAGTGTAGGCTCATCAACCAGACTTTTTGTTTTATGTCTTTTTATCCTGCAGCTTCATCAAGAACACACAGGTTCTGTAATAAGATAGACGGGCTGCTTCTTTTTCTCTTGGACATTAGGATGTGCATTAAGTGATGTGCTCATGTTTACCATATGAGGGAAGTGTTACACACGTGGGACGGGCTTTTGACTGCTCTAATCCTGTGAGATTTTAGTCTCCTCAAATGATCTTTGTTTGCTTTAGGATACTGACGGCAACTCCTGTTAAACAAGCTAAAATAAAGTTGTAATTTAACGGTGCTTTGAGTCGGTGAGGATGTTGCTGGAGTTTTGGAAGAAGTTGAACTATTTGAAGGGCTTGATCTACACAGTTAATCTTAATCCGTCTTAGTTTGTTTTGTGTATATATTCATGTAGGCCTGTCACAATAACACATTTTTGCAAGGCGATTAATTGTCTCAGAAATTATTGTGATAAACGATAATATTGTTTGAAATTTGACAATAATTAGTAATTGTCAAATTTAAGAAGAAATGATGGTTAATTTGTTTTGTATGTAGTACCTTTTTGACCACTGGATGGCATTATAAGACCGTTTGAACCGAAGGATGGATAGAGAGGGAACGAGCAGCGTGTCTCTACAAGATGCAAGGTTTTATTTTTTAGCCGTTGTATTTATGGTAGGAATATATAGATGCACTATTAGCTTGTGTTGTTTCAAGTAGTGTGTTGTGTTTTGGTTCTTCAATTTGATACTCCTTTTGTGTTTTTGACTTTATTCTTAAGAGTCAAGCTAACGCAGACTAAAGCTAATTAAATGACAAACGGATTAGCACATTTTAGTCTTCAAGACTCGGGTCACGAACAATTAATGACTGAATCGTTCTTTTTCTGCGTCGACAAGCTTTTGTACAAACACTACAAACATGTTAGCCACTACAGAGCAAACTGTGCCACCGTGGCTTTGAGTACTTTATTACTGGTGGTAAAAAGGAAAAGGTATCCACTTTTTTTTATTACAGGTATTTGTTAATTTGTTACGATGGGTGTGGATTCTGGGTCTGACAAAGCTAAAATAAAACACTTTAACCTGCACTGTCTAGCAAAGTGTTTGCCAAAAGGTGTGTTTCTACTGAAGTCTACAAACCTTGATGACACTATTTCTCACTAATTTGTTGTTTCAGTAATTATTTCCTAATACATTTGTAGCTTCCTTTTACTAGTTTCAAATCTTGATAAACAGATAGGCGACTGTCTTTACTTGGAGTTCAGTTTACAGTTTAAACGTGCTGCCTATAAAGTGTGTACATTTTCTGCTTTTCAGTTTTTTCCTTCTGTTATTTTCAGGCTTTGTCCTCCGCAGTGGCTCAGGTGTTCACAGCAGACAGAAATGGCAGCTGGAGCAAAAAATGCTGCGGGGTGGTCTGCATGGTCAAAGACAACCCTCAGCGGTCGTACTTCATCAGAGTCTTGGACATCAAGGTAGGTGCAGAGCTCATGTGTCCATCTGAGTCATTCATAAGTGGTTCATGACCTAAAGACCTCGACAACCCACTAGGATTAAGGGATTTACAGCTCTTATCATTCATAAAGAGCTTCTAAAGTGTTGTTTTCATAACTAAGATAGTTTTCGTGTTAAAAGAGAGCCATTGTTTAGGTGGAATTTACAACTCCAATTCAAAACAAGTTGGAATTTGTGTAAAATGTGAAAGAGGAAAAACGATGCAGTTACCGGTACATAATTTTTAGAGGGGGAAATGGTTTTGAATTTTATGTCACCAAAAAATAGGAAACGGGGACAACAAAAAGTTGTAAAATTAACTGATGTGAAAAAGAAACGGCTAGGACGGAGTACCAAGAGTATTGAAATTTGATGCCGTCCGCACTAAAGAGAGGGACAATCCAGCCTTTTATCAGTGCACACTGTTAAAAAGCCTGCCTCTCTTATGGTATGGGGGTGCATTAATGCAGAAAATTATATACTGGTCCTAAAACATAGACTCCCATCTGGACATTGTTTTCAAGGAAGGTCTTGAATATTTCAGCAACATGATGCTAAACAACTTACTGCATCCATTACAACAGCATGACTTCATAGAGTTTAGGTGCTAAACCTTCCTACATTTCAGGCCTTAACCATTTATTACATCATAAAACAAAAAAAACAAACAAACAACAAAGATCAACCAGGTCTGTTAAACAGCTAGAGTTCTCTATCAGACGAGATTTGGACAACGGTCTTCTCCAAACCCATCAGCAGCTGGCCTCCTCAGTTCCTGGATGTTTACAGATGTTGGTTAATAAAAGAGAATCTGTCCGAGGGAAACCAGAAGCTGTTTGAACTTTTTTAAAGAATAGTTGCTGCCGTCAAACTAAAAATTTATATATTTTTCTAAATATGGTTCAGTTTCTTAGTTTAAACATTTCATATATTTTCTGTTCCATTGTAAATGAAATGTGGGTTTTAATATTTCCAAATCACTGCATTCTGTTTTCATTTACATCTTAACACGATGTTCCAACTTTTTTCGACATGGGGTTGTAAACAAAATGCATTCGTTATAAGTATGTTTCTGTTTGATAACGGTAAAATGTCTGACTTAATTCCTGTCGTCTTTCTCATTTCCACAGGACGGTAAGATTATGTTCGAACAGGAGCTGTACAACAACTTCTCCATAAACCTCCCCAGACCTTACTTCATCACATTTGCTGGAGATGTGAGTTGGTCTCCGCAGATTTTTGCATTTTTTCACCACCTTTTTATTGGTCTGGCTTCAAAAAAACAATATTTAACGCCTCTGAAGTTCAGTCATTTTACATTCAGTCATGTATTTGTGTCGCATTAATAATGTATTTTGTGAACGTTTGTTGCCAGTCGTCCCAAGTGGGTCTGAACTTTGCCAGTGAGGAGGAGAGCAAGCGTTTTCAGAGCAGCCTGTCTGAGCTGCTGGGGAGAAAACAAAGGAAAACCGGTAACAAATGTTTGCTTATTTACCTGCAAATCCATCCGCCGATGTAATTTTTTACATTAAACATAAGAGATAAAAATGACAAGAATGTGTTTGGCTTGAAAATGTCTAAAGGAGATCCTCTTTCAAAATATCAAATATTATTGGGGATTGCCTAGTATAAGGCAGACACCTATTATTATCCACATGACTAGGGTTTCTTAACTTTATTTACCGGTATATCTTACTCTTCAGTCAACTTTAATGTAGCCCAAAGGGCAACATGCACCCCAATAAATGCTATATCAAAACAACCGGCATGGCACCATGATGTGTGCTACTTTTATTGGCATTTCGAGTTACCATGGCGATGTAATTTGCTTACAAAGACGCCACTTTTTCCATACAAAATGCCTGACAGAACACTTCTCACACTAATGCTGTGAGGTTACATGACTTAGGATGTAGAGGCCCCTAAAGAAAACAGAAATTCAATGTTGGAAAAGAAAAAAAAATAAGATAACGCTACCATTTTTAGTGCTGTTTAGCTGAAATCTGGTTATTGGTAGTTGAGAATGATCCCTAATAGACTGCAAATCAAAAATCCAAGATGGCTGCCTGATTTACAAAGGAAAAATATTCTAAAGCTGCCAATTTTAGTAATATTGAGCTGAAATTTGGTGTGGTGATTGCTGAGAACATTTCCTATCAAATGCTATATCAAAAATCCAAGATGGCCACCACGGCTTTAACTCAGCCATTTTTACACAGAGAGCTGAAATTTGGTGAGGTTATTATTGCAAGTGCAATTAATTGTTCAGCCCTAGTAGCTGAGTGCAAACTCCCAACACATAGTCCTGTCAAGTCAAAACTTTAAATTGGCAGCAGCATGGCAGTCCCTGTAAAATTTCTCCAGGAACTTTCTAGTTATAATTATTATATTATAATATCAAAATATTTTCTATACATGTCATTTTTTTTAACATATCCTTTAAAGACCTGGGCAGAAAAATATATGAATTTTCAATACAAACTCTTTTTAACAAGGTAAATCATATACGTTTTATTTATTTATTTATTAATTTGTGGCGATTTCTCAAGCTGTTAGTAAACAAAATTTTCCATCTTGTAAGTTTGGAAATTTTCTTTGTACGCATGAAGAACAATCCATAATTCAAGGCTGTATAATGTAACTATTCTAACTTCAGTGTTTCCCCTAGTTAACTTGCCATGGCGGGGTGCTCATCTAATCCATGAGTTTTGTTGACGGGGGGGATGGAGACATGTCTGAGTGCAGCTTACCAACAGTTTTTGAGTGGGGGGTGGGCGTTCAGCATGAGGGAAGAGGCTAGAGCCTCTGTATTGCGCACTGCTAGCTTAGCGTGACACGTTTGAGTTGTGCACAGTTTATACAGACAGTTTATGAGAGGGGGTGGAGGGGGGGGAGCAGGTGTTCAGCTTGAGAGAAGAGGCAACATGAGCGCTGCCTTTAGCTTTTTAGCTAGAGAGCCTGTGTTTCACGCCACTAGCTTAGTGCTATGTCAGTGCCAGGTGTGGGGTATGGGAGGTAAGTTTGGTTTGGTAAGCGGGGTGCTCAGTTCAGTTGACGGGGTGGGGCACCCCACATGTATAATGGTAGGGGAAACACTGAACTTTATAACATGCTAATAGTGTTCCTAATTTTATTTCATCTAGTTATTTTCTAGTCTTTTACATCATTTTTCTCCAGCATCTTTAATATCTCGTTCTCATACTAATTAACATCCCAGATTTTTATATTTATTTAGACTTGAAGCTGTCAAACTGAGTGTTTATATTAAAATGCACAATTTACTCTAAGCTGAGAACATTTTTATGTTTTTATTAGTGAGATTTTTCATGGTTTGTATCTTTCTCTTGGTTACTATATTTTTCAATTCTTCCCTCGGTGCCAGTCTTATCTTCCATTCAACTTCCAGCCACTGAATGTTTGTAAATGAATAAAAGTATGCTTGCTGTGTTCTAGTGTGTCTGGAGATGATACAAGCCGTGACGCCTCCCTAACTCACTAACAGGGCACTTAGCTCATCACTTTTTCCCTGTATAACAACATACACATCCCGCTGACTCCTGCACTGAAAACACAACACTAACCTCTCCTATCTTTGACGCTTTTTGTTTCTTAATAACATTCCAACCTGCCCAGCTCAGGATTGTAACAATATGATTTGTGTGTGTTCACAGAGAAGAGGCGTGACCCTCCAAATGGTACGTACTTCTGTTTTTTGATAAATGAAAAAGTCCTACACCAGGGTCAGAAAATGTGAAAATCCCAACTGTTTTCAGATACTTTCAGCAAAGTTTCAGCCTTTTTTCTTTTTTTTTTTCCAGTTGTGTTGTGATCCTTTTAGATTCTTTCTGCTAACTACAACATTTCTGTGCTTCTTCTAACTTATTTCTGCTGCTATTTAGCTGTTTTATGCTAATTGCAACTTTTTTTTGGCTAATTCCACATTTTTTGCACTCATTTAAACTTTTTTTCAGCTTAAAAATGTGCTCTTAATTTATTTCTGGTAATTTAAGCTTCTTTCTGCTTTTTTAAACTGCTTTTCAGCTTTTTTTTTTTTTCAGATAATTTCTACTTTTTTATGCTAACTTCTGCTTCCTTTAGCATATTTGGGCAAACATGTTTTTTTCTGCTTTCTTCTGCTAATTTAAGCTTGTTCTTACTTCAGCTAGCTTTTTTTATGTATTTTTTTTTTTTAAGCTAATTTTATCTGTTTTCAGATAAATTCAAGTTTTTCGTGGTAATTTCTGCTACTTTCAGCCTAACTTCTTTCTGCTAATTTTAGCTTGTTTTGCTTTTTTCCTGCTCTTTCAGCTACTATTTAGCTGTTTTGATGCTAGCTTTTTTTGGCTAATTCCACATTTTTTTTAGCTCGTTTCAGTTTTTTATGCTTCCTTCGGTAGTTTAAGCTTCTTTCTGCCTTTTCAGCTAATCAACATTTTTTGCTCATTTCAAAATTTTTAGCTTATTTCCAAAATTTTGTGCTCATTTCTGCCTATTTAAACCTAATTCAACAAATATGTTCTTTATGCTTTCTTTTGCTAATTTAGGCTTGTTCTTCCATTTCAGCTACTTTTCAGAATGTGTTTTTGGTTAATTTCAGCTGTTTTTCAGCAAGTTCTTCTGCAATAAGTATTCACAGTGCATTTTTGCAGGAAATGCAATTTGTCTAGTTTTAATAAGCTCAGCTTTTGATGTCTTGATGCAGCTGACCATTATCCATTTATTGCTCGTGTCCATTGTGATTTATTTCCATGTGTTTAATGTGACAGAAGATTTTAAAGCAATCCTTGTTTTTATTTCTAGTCAGGGTCAATATTTATTAACCTTTTAGTCTTTAAGCAGAGTGTTTTTGTACCTGTGCTGTCTTGTATAAATATCCCTAGCTTGACTCCCCTTGCTTGGTTTATTAGGCTTTATTATAATTTTGTTTCTTCTCTGTCTTCCTCTCTTCTGTTTCCATTTGTCCAGTTCTCAATTTCCCATCATCTCACGTCCATTTCTTTCCATTTTGTTCTCTCTCCATCTCCTGCTACCCTTTCCTGTCCTCCCGTCTTCATCCGTGTCCTCATCTACTCTTATTGTTTAATCTGTCTCAGTCTTTCTCCTCCCTCTCTTCTCCTGCCTTCCTCACTCGTTCTTTGGCACCACTGATTCATCTGTTTTAGAAAACCATAGAGATTAATTTGGGATTATGCGTCGGATGGGTTTTATTGGTTACGTAAAGGCCAGCGCTGAGTCTGGAATGATTTTCTGGGATTAGTTACATTTGTGTGTTTTTGCGAGTGGCAAGCCGACCGTAGATGCTCGTCAGGAAGAAAACGATGGTTTAACTTCCTCGTCTGTCGAGTTAAATATCTGCTTTTTAAAATTTTTGCGATGGAAACTCTTGCCTTCTCAGCTCCACATGTTTAAAAATCATTTTCTGTCCTGGAAACGTTAGAGGTCGCTCTTGGCTGTACGAGTAGATTTTCACTTCCATCAACGTCGAGGACCTTTCTGGATGTGTTCTCCATTTAAAATCTTCAAGCACTTCAGATATTTTTCCTCTTTGAAAAAGAAGAATGATGTTCTGTACAACCTTTCTTTCTGCCCCCTCGGAGGAACTCATTTCAGACGAAGGTGGAGGTTTGGGTCCGGGCTGTCTGTCTTCTTTTCACTGCGTGGTTCTTCCTCAGGATGAACTGTACCCGCCTCTTTCTGACGCCTCCTCTCGCCTCTCCATCGGCACAAGAAATCAAACTTGCAACTTAAGCAGTAAAATGCTTGTTGACATCAGTATCAGCTCCTACCTGACTGGAGGTGGCGTTTGCCCTCGGTCAGCTTCTTCATCCAGCCAAACTCCCAAATGTGTGAGTAGAGAGAGTCTAAGAGGTACGTGCTTCAGGTTAGAGCTGTGTAGTATAATTTACTACAAGGAGAAGCATCTTGACCACATGCTGTGATGAATACATTTAAAGATCTAGCTGAAACTGAAGACTGGGCTGGACTGTATATTTTAAGTTATCCATACCTGCAAACTAGACACCTCTGTGTTGCACGTTAGCTTACCGCTACGTTAGTGACGTCAGCTGTTGACCGGCGGGTGTGTGTGGGAGAAACGGAGCGCGTAGCATCTTGGCTAGCGCGTCTGTATTGTGCGCGACGAGATTTTGGGAGAAATATCATGTTGGGGAGAAAGAACCAAAGTAACATACGTTTTCTGAAGAACTGGTCAAATCAGTGATGGGGAAGGAACAGAGGAGAAAAATATGGATGTTATTCCAAGTGGATTGTGAAGGAAAGAGGAATGAAAGTTATGGTGTATGAACTGTGGCAGTAAGGAAGGAACCTGTAAATGATTAGTTTTGATAATTACTGTACATGCAGGTTGACCAAACTGACTTGATGTTTTTTTTGGTGTCACTGTTGCTTGGCACGGTGTCATTTGTGTTGTGAAGGCTGCTGCCAGGTCCTTTTCTGTTAGGAGTCTATCACTAAATCAGAAAACACTAACCCCCCACTGCTTGTGGTTATCAAAATGTTCATTGGGTAAAGTTAATGTTTTTATTTTGAAACATGCAGTTCATTGTCACCATTGCTTATCACAACAGCATGTTGTGTTACTAATAAGTCAAGTGCACCCCTAAAGTCATTGTTTGTGATAAATCGTGCAACATTAATGTCTTCGCCTCGGAGTGAGTTTACAAACAGGATGATGCAGACATGGACTAGTTGAATGAGGCGTTTCTAAAATATCCTGATGCGTGATCAAGAATTTCAACAATGTTTTTTAAAATCCATCCAGAGAACTGGACTTTATTTTGTTAATGTCTAAAATAATTATTGAATCAAGTGTTTACTTATGCAGGTAAACGTAGATGTTCAACCTGTTCTAAATACACCAGAATGCAGGAAGTGGTATTAATTTATTCAGAATTTTCTGGGGGAGGACCACCCCCCCCACACACACACACACACATTACAAATTCTTCTGACACCAATAGGCATAAACGGCCCTTGAAAGTCTTGTCCAGGCCAAAACATTCAAGAAATGAGTTTTTACTGTTAGCAAAATGCTCTGCTGATTTTAGCGTGCTGCTGCTGTTTGTTTGTTTTTTTATTTTTTGGTTGACACCATCTTTCCTGTATGACCTCATTAAATTAGGATATGTTAGTTACCTGAAGCATCTGGTCTTTTCCCCTAAATTGATTTTTGGAGTACCAGAATGCTAGTTTGCCAATGAAATGCACTTCGCTGACTAGATGTTTAAACTGGAGCAGTTTGTTTTCAAAGATTGTATTTTATATTACCGGTACTGGTTGTAAGTTTTTATAGTCTCTTGTTCGTTGAATGCAGTTATTAAATAGCAGCTTGCTTCATCCACAAACATGAGTCTGCATTCAAATCTGTAAATGCTTACAGGACACCAGATGTGCAACGTCTCTTCTTTTGAATACATTTGTGCTCTGCACTTGGTTCTGTTGCCTGAGCGGTGCCATGTTGTCATTTTGCAGGACCCTCGTTGCACATGGCTACCATCGACATCAAAAACCCAGAGATCAGCGGCATTCAGCGTTCTCACAACGCTCATATGAACAACTTCTCAGCCCCTTCCTTCCCCAGGAGGATCAAGAAGGACAAAGGGAACAACAAGAAGAAGAAGCTGACAAAGGCAGACATCGGCACACCCAGCAACTTCCAGTGGGTCACCTTTTGACTTTTCCATGATTTGGTTGAATTTTCTCTTGAGGAATGGATGAACAAACGGATCATTAGTACTTCATTCATGTTTTAAGTTCCTACATTTATATTTCCAATCTGCAGTTCTGCACCGTTTCCTTTAAACTCAAATTTCTTTTTGAAGTATTTATTGTCCAGTTTGTCTCACGATGTCAGAGACTAATTTAAATTTCACCATGACATTAACAGTAAACAGTAGATTTATAATGTTAGTGTTTTGAACTGAGACTATTTGGAATTCCCTTAGTGGATTTTAATCTTGTTTTTGTTTTTTTTACCTGTTAAAACCAACAACAGAGACTAGAAAATAGAAAAACATTTTACTTCATAGAGGACACTTTTGCAACAATTACAGCTAAAAGCTGCTGATTTCTAGAAGCAACTTTCAACACTAGTTCAATATATTTATTTATTTGTTGGCTCAATCAGATTAAGGGCTCCATTTAAACACCTGTGTGTGTGTGTTGTAGAGGTATGCTTGAGGTGTGTCTCATTAAAAACTACACCCGAGTCCCAGTTTCAGTTTGGGATGGGCATTGTTGGGAATTATTAGTTTTTTCTCCAAATAACTCAAAGACCCTCCAACTCTTGCCCCATCCACCCAGATGCACATGTTCTGACACTTGTAATGGTCACATTATTTCTCTTTAATTCAACCATTTTACCTGAGCGTTAAACGTTTACTTTTTTTAAGCATTTTCCAAAGCTCTGATAATGTGGTGGTGGTGGGGATCATTCCCAAACTATGGCGCTCCCTCTGCCGTACTTTACTGTAACACACACAGGAACTTCCTGTGATGAGCATATTATTTGTCTCGTACAAGTCCTTCAGCATCGTGCCTGAGTTTTTCCCCATCTGCTGTGTTTTTGGTTTATATAAATAAAACGTAGTTTTTCTGGGTGAGCGTCTCCTACATCTCTCTCGTGTTCCCCGTTCTGTTGCCACGTCTGTGCCACATTTTCATATGAAATATTGGATTTAATCGTCTGAGCAATTGTGCAAGGCTTTTATTTAAAAGATGGAGACATGTCATTGGCAGCATTCATATTATAGTTGGTTATTGGATTATATGGGATTATATCATTAATCCTGTAAACGGCTCTTTACACTTGGAGTCTTTCTGCCTTTCTTTTGTGCCTCATATTGTTCTGTTGTGCTGTTCTCACAGGCACGTCAGTCACGTGGGATGGAATCCAAACACAGGCTTTGATGTAAGTAGTGTTCACACATTCGTTTGTGTGTTGGTGCGTTAGTGTGCGACGTCTGGACCTTCTTAAAGCGTGTCCATTTATCAGGCGGCTCTTTGGCGCAGATTACGGCAGACTGCAAATTAAGAACAGATCGTTTTTGATTTCTAAATTAATTCAGTGTTGGACTCGGCTTCGTTTTAACTGGTGACGTTAAATTGTTCTGATTTTAGCACAAAGGAGTGTTGCTGCTTTTTTTCTGCCACTTAAAATTTATATTAAAAAGGACTCGGTCAAATCAAAAGTGCTGCGGTTTGTTGACTTGATTCAGTCTCGTGTTGCTGTGAATTCAAATAGGTCTTGAAGAAGGAAAACATCATGATCAGCAATCTGTCCTAACATTATTAATCTCACTTCAGTAAAATATGGACTTGATGTCAGTGGTGTAGAGAGAAACACAAGTTTAATTTCTGACGGACGCTGGTATTAAAATGTTCACCACATGGTGGGAGCAGAGCACTGAGATGTTCTCATATGGAGAGTTGGTCAAGTCAGCTGTTTCTGAGATCTAAAGATGATGGACTGAATTTTAATTCAGCTTTTTATGTTGCTGTAATGATAATTGTGCACAACTTAAAAAAAAAAAATATATATATATATATATACACACACTTTTTTTTGTTTTAAGTAACAAGTTAGGGAATATGAAGGAGTTGCTAAATGTTCCTGAGCAGCTGAGTCTTTTAGACAAAGTATTTTTGTGCTACTTTGTATTAAACGTAATAAAGACATTTCAGATGGAACGTCTTTTTTTTATTTTTTATTCCTGTAGCTGAATAACTTGGACCCGGAGCTGAAGAATCTGTTCGACTTGGCTGGCATTTCTGAGGCCGAGCTGAAGGACAGGGAGACTTCTAAGGCTATTTATGACTTCATTGAGAAGAATGGCGGCGTGGAGGCCGTCAAAAACGAGGTACGGAGACAAGGTAAGCAGTCGCGCTGTTCAAATTATATATATATATATATTTTTTTTTTACTTCTGATTGATGCCACTGAAAAGTGTTTGCTTTCACTAAATTGAGTAGTTTGAATTAAAAAGGTGCAGCTTCAGGAAGTCTTTAACGTGACATAAAATCAACACTAAATGTGATGTGTGAACATGATTTATCAGGATTAAATAAATGCAATGGGGTGGACTGACAGTTAAAGGCAGTAACTCGTGTGGTGGTTTGATCCCCAGGTCCGCCCAGGTGGAGCGGTAGGTTTCTGTGCATGACTTGCTGTGAAAGCCTTCGCTGCTACTTTCATGTTTGCTGTTTCTCCACTCTTGTTATTCTTGAACTGTACCCCCCCCCCCCCCCTGTTGTCACCTGACGGATATATCCAATAAATACATTTTTTTGGTTTTTGAAATAATTGCATTACTTCTCCCCCCTCCTTATTCAAATGCGTTGCAACGAGGCTGATCCTGTTTGGCTTCTAACTCCATGAGTGCATGTCTGGTAGGATGTGCAGAGCTGAGCGGCGTTCTGAGCTCCTCCTCCATCAGTCTCTCATTTAGACACCAGTCCAAAACTGAATGTTTGCAGTGAAACCAGTGAAACCAGTTTCCTCCAGCCTGCCGTGTTACTCATCAGTTTAGTCGTGACACGTTTCCAACGGGTTCTCTTCTGTTTTTGTTTTGTTTTTTATCTTCAGCTCCTCCGCCACCTCCACCCAGAAGCGGCCCCCCTCCCCCACCCCAGCATCACATCTCAGCTCCTCCACCTCCTCCATCTCGGGTTATTCGTGGCGCCCCACCACCGCCTCCTGTCTCCAGACCTCCCGTCTCTGCACCCCCACCCCCACCTCCACCTCCATCTCGACCGGGCTTGTCTGCTCCACCGCCTCCCCCGCCTAACAGAGGCGGCCCCCCACTTCCCCCCATGCCATCGCATGTCTCCATCCCTGTGGCCCCACCTCCACCACCTCTTCCGCCTTTGGCTCCTGCTAGTAATGGTGCACCTCCTCCACCTCCTCCGCCCCCTGGACCTCCACCCCCTCTCTCCTCGGAGGCTAACGGAGGAGACAAGTCGGCTCTGCTGAGTCAGATCAGGGAGGGGTCCCAGCTGAAGAAGGTGGAGCAGAGGGAGAGGCCCGTGTCCAGCAGCGGTAGGGACGCACTTCTGGACCAAATCCGACAAGGAATCCAGCTGAAATCTGTAAGAGCACACGCCTGACGTCTACCGGGCCGCACGTCTGCGTTTCTCACGTCTCATCTTCTCTGCAGGTCGACGACAACATCGACTCCGCACCCGCCACGTCCGCCCCTACATCAGGCATTGTCGGGGCGCTGATGAAGGCAATGAAAGACAGAAGCAGGGTTATTCACTCTTCAGGTAATTCAACATTTCTAAAACTACGCCTGTAGTCGCATATTCTAAATGTATATTATGTACACCACACCTGATGGAGGAGGCGATGAATACAAATATAATGCTCTGCATCTGTCGGGTCCACTTCTGTGTTTGAATTCCCAACGTTTGTGACTTATTGTTCTGATCGCAGCAACTAAAGCCTCATTAGACCGAGCAGAAAACTAGAACATAACATGAGTAAAAGTTTTTAAGAGGCTCGGCCAGAAAATCCCTGCTATTTATGCTTCACAATTATCTACTGCATTGAATAATCATAAAATACTAGAGATGCACAATATTGTATTTTTGGCCGATATCCTATGTGCTGATATGTTAAAACTTATTTGGCTGATAACCGACACCATTATCGATATTTTCCCCCTAGACCTACTTGCAGAGAATACATCTCTTTCTCTGCTGTGGAATTAAAATACTACATTATTCTTCATGGTCTTTGTCAGTTTGGCTGCTACCAAATGCAGATGCCAAAAAAGGGGCTGAAAATGATGCAACACTTTAACTTATGTTTAATGTCAAATTTATTCGTAACATTTACTCTAACACGATGACAAGACTCGAACCGTGCAAATTTGTAATTCACAAGTGACATGTGATAAGCGCGTAAGTAGTAGTGCATTAATATACACTTGACAGTTTCTTAAATTAAAATTTCACTTAAAACAGAAACCTTTTATATCAGCGAGTTATTTTGGTGGAATGGCTGATGTTCGATATTTAACTTTATCGCTAATATCGGCCGATACGATACCACGCCGATAATATCGTGCATCCCTATAAAATGCCATACTAGTTTTATTTATAAAGCACTTTTAACAACCCTAGGACCAAAGTCTGTACATTTACAGTCAATAAAACCAACAGCAGCCACAAAACGTGATAAAAAAAAAAACATATGAAAGCAAACAAAACACTTTCTTATATTAAACAAAAACAAATGGACTCGGTCTTTTCATTCCAAGATGTTTAGAGCCATTTTGGTCTTTAAGTCCTTGAGACATTTCTGATGTGGTTCAGAGGAAAATGAGGCCTTTATTTTGAGGGGGACATAAACCTGACAGTCATCTGCATACAAGTGAAACTAAATAAAGCTGCGTTTTCTAATGACAAATGTGTGGCTTAAAAAAAAAAAAGTTCTTTTTCTCAACCTTTCTTTAAAAACACGCAGCGCATCTGAAAATCTGGATTAGCGTCCAGTTATTGCAAAGCACTAAAAGTCTACAGGCAAAACTTCAAAAGTCATTTTATATATTTTTATTGATGTTAGTTCTTTATGTAATTTTTTTTTTTTTGCGCTTCAGATGATGATGACGATGATGATGAGGAAGACTCTGAGGAAGAAGATGAATGGGAGGACTAGTGACTTTGCTTTCCCCAACCCTCCGATGATTATGACACAAAAAATTGATCTCGTTTTTCTGAAAAGAAATATTTGATTTCAAAACTGACAAATATAAATGTTCTTTGAGTTGGTTGTATATTTTTGTTGCCTTTATGCTCGTTTTTTTTTTTTTTTTTAATTAATCTGTGCAATACCTCATGCATTCGATAACTGTCGCTTATCTTTTTCTTTATCTTTGTTGGCTACATGTCTCTTTTTTTTTCTTTCACTTCACATATTTGCTCTCCTGTGTTCCTAATTGTGCAAATTCTGAGTCAAGACATTTTTTTTCTAACTGCTGTCTCTTGTCACATAATCTGCCAGCCTTTCTTTTTCGTTCCCAATCCCAGATTAATGTGCAATTTTAAATGTCTCTTATTAAAGCAGAATTTTGTTTGTTTTTGTTAGTGATTGATGAGAGGGCTTTAAAGACAGCAAGACAAATTGCCACAAATCTTTAAATAATTGTATCGTTGTTCGGAGCGAGTTGGAAAAAGGCTATTTTCATATGTTTATTGCTCTGTAGTTTATTTTTACATATTCAAATAAACCTAGTTTAGTGCTCATATTAAAAAAATAAAACCGAAACGATGCTCCTGTTTGGGATATTTATCGTCATTCGCTGTGGACTGTAAATTTACTCCAAAGTTTGAGTCTTTATATTTTTGCACAAAGACGAGACTCGCGTACATTCATAACCTTTTCATGCAGGGATTATGCTTTTTCCCTCCAACTCGACGTGCTTAAATTTATGTCTTCAAACGTGGACTTTGACCTTTAACCTAAACCACTGCATAAAGTAAAAGTTGTGGTTGGCTGTCTGTTTTTGTTTTTGTTATTGTCACACTACAGATTGAGTTATGCTAATTTTATTTTTTACAGTAGCAAGCAGAGTATTAGTAAATGCCTGTTCATTGTAATCCGATTTATCATGTGATGTTTAAGGAATAAAGACTTTTTAGTTTTACACCAAACGCTTACAATAAGTTACTAAACAGCAGGGCTACTTGTCCACTAGAGATCTGTAAATGCTGATGTATCGGGCTCAAAATAAACTATAAACTATGAGTTGTAACAATAAGACTCGTTGTGGGTAAGAATAAATTATCTTGACGATGCACATAATGTCTGAATTTGTAGAAAATCATGGTGTTCGGATTGTGTTTGAAACGTTTGTCACAAAAATGACACGTTTTGGTTCCGTACTGTACAGTCGAGATGATGAAACATTAAAAATAATGGTAATTGTGCAAATAAAATGATTTTGAATATCCTGCTCATAGCCAGCTCATCAACTTTATGAGAAGGTAATTAAGAGACTTATTTGGGTCTGTGCTTGTTTTGGTTCACGTTTAAAATGAGCTCACTGTATTTGTCGTACTCCGTACAAGGCACAATTACAATAAGCTTTATTATCATTGCACCGAGATATGACTATATAATATGTCTGTACAGTCATCCGAAAGATGAGTGGAGTGCACGTAGCTGCTGCTTTAAAGCACGGCCTTCTTATTCTTTACAAAGCATTTTTCAGATAGAAAAAGGGACAAAGCCATGAGGAGAGGATAGTGGCATTACAAAAAAGATCTCTCTACCTCCGTCCTAACAGGACATGATTTAAGAAATTAAAAAAATGTGAACTCTTGTAGTGAAACCAGACCAACAACATCCGAGACAGGACAAATGCAGTGGTTCCAAACCCTGGTCCTTGAGGAACACCATCCTGCATGTTTGAGTTGTTTCTCTGCTCCAACACACCTGATTCAGTTGTTTAATTACTTAAGTTCAGCAGAAACCTGTTGATCAACCTTTCATTCAAATTGGGTGTGTCAGAGCAGAGGAACAACTAAAACATGCAGGATGGTGTTCCTCAGGGACCAGGGTTGGGACCACTGAGTTAGAGGGTGTCGAAGGAAGGGCGGACTTTTTTTTTTTTTTTTTTTTAAGTTGCATGGTATAAAAAAATGTTTTGTCATAGTTGTGACAAAATTAACTGATACAAATTTAAAGGTGTTTGTTGGCTGGCTGGCTAAAAGTTTGCTTTTAATAAAAATGTGTTACTTTCTATTTTCAAAGCTTGAGGCTTTTGCTTTTTATTAAAAGCAACTTAATGAGTTACTTTGTATTTTTCAGTAGTAACCTATGCTTGAGTAAAATTTAAACAGAGTAACTATTTTTACTTGAGTACAAATGTGCCTTTGTACACTTATCGATCTATTTCAGGGCAATTCAACTAAAACGGAAAGCCAAGAGCTCTGGTCCAACGTCCCAACAGCTTTTTTTGTCATTAAATAAGTTTGTTTTACGGTTTAAAATCTAGTTTTATTTAAATTTGAACCCATTGATGGGCCGAACTGAGCTCACCTGTGGGCCTGATTTGGCCCCCGGGCCACCAGTTGAAAATGCCTAATCTATTTTATGATTTTACCTTTAGTTCTTCAGCAGGCACAATCCAGACCAAATGCATATAATTTGTTGTTTAACCGAAGTCAACGAAGAAAACAGTTTTCTGCTGTGGAGCAGAAAATGTCAGCCAACAAAAACCTTTAAAGCTGTATTAGTTAATTTTGTAGCCGATTGTGTGACTTGACAATCCTGGCTGGCTGTTCTTCACCTATAAATAAAGATGTTTTATAGGACAAAAGGGAAGATGTAATTATTTTCAGAGGTCACTGTAAAACGTTCTTTAATGAATGAGAAAGATCTGCGGCCTGAGTGTTTATTTTTAGTTAATGTTCACATCAGCTGAACCTGCATCAGTCCTCTAACAGGCCTATGGGATTAGAGCAGGTATGTTCTTTCCACAGTGTTTTTAGAGACTGACACTGAAAAGCTTTTCTAGAACAGCATCACAGCATCTTTTATTTTGATTGACCTAAGCTTAAACTGGTTCAGTTCATTGACAGTTGCATAAATGTTGATGTCTTTTTGCACGGTAAACAATTGATAAGGTAAACTGTTGCTAATTCCATTTTAATACAGTGATAATTGTGTGAACACTTACTAATCATTCACACACAGTTTTTGTGCTATTTCAACATATCGTGTATCAAAACATTCAGCTCTTTCAGGGCAATCCTATGACTTTTGGTTTTGGTGCAATTTTAGCTTTTTTGAAATATTTGGCCTTTTCTGCCATTGTTTTCCCTCATAGAAAATGAACAGAGCTCATTTGACATCCTTCAAAAATCTTTAGCTCTGTTTTGTTCTGGTTCAGCTTGTGCAAATTTAAACATTTTGTCAGCTATTTCAACTAATTTCAGCTGTTTTGTGCTCCTTTCAGCTTCTTTCTGCTAGTAACATTTTTGTGCTTCCGCTAACTTCTTTCTGCTAGTTTCAGCTTATGCTCCTTTCAGCTTCTGCAAGTTTCAGCATTTTCTGATATTTCAGCTACTATTTAGCTGTTGTATGTTCATTTTAACTTTTTCAGCTAGTTCCACATTTTTTGCACTCATTTCAAGTTTATTCAGCCTAATTCAGCAAAAAATATGCTCTTTCCATTTCCTCCAGGTAATTTAAGATGCTTTTTAAGCTACGTTGTTGTTGTTGTTGTTGTTGTTGCTGTTGCTGCTGCTGCTGCTGCTGCTAATTTTAGCTTTTTTCAGATAATTTTCACTTTTGTGCTCGACTTCTTTCAGCTCAGTTGGGCAAATATGTTGCTCCGTCAGCTCTTTTCTGCTAGTTTCATAATTTTTTTGCTATTTACTATTTAGCTGTTTATGCTAATTTTAGCTTTTTTGGCTAATTCCACATTTTTAGCTCAATTTAGCTCTTTCTGCTTCCTTCTGGTAGTTTAAGCTTCTTTCGGCCTTTTCAGCTACTTTTCAGCTGTTTTTTGCTCATTTCAGCTTTTTTTTTTTTTTAGCTAATTTCCTAAATTTTGTGCTCATTTCTGCTTATTTAAACCTAATTCAGCAAATATGTTCTACTTTTTTCCACTAATGTGTGTCAGTTATTCCATTTCAGACACATTTCAGCATGTTTTTAGCTACTTTTGAGCTGTTTTTCATCAAGTTCTTCAGCAATAAGCATTCACACTGCATTTTCGCAAGAAATTCAGTTTCTGTACTTTAAACAGTTAATATTCAAGCATTCAAGGTTCTTTATTGTCATTCACATCACATGTGGTACATGAGGTGAAATGAAACCGTGTACACAGGATATAAAGGGTTATATATATTTACCATCCAACCTGTTATCTGCACACAGTTTAAAAGTCTGCCTCTCTGATAGTATGGGGGTGCATTAGTACCTTTGGCACAGGGGTTAATTTGTAAACGGATCGATGTCGGAACCCAAATAGTAGCCAGCGGGGGAGGGGGGTTCTCCCCCAGAACATTTTGAACAAAAGTAGATTAATTTTGGTGTATTTTATCAGGTTGTTAAACATCTACATTTACATACATTTGTAAATACTACGCTTCTGTCAAACTTCCTACCCCCTCCCCCTTACTTGACAGTTCCAAGTCCGACTCCGTCCCTCATTGTTGTCCAACTCCATATGTGAAACCTCCAGGCGCCGCCTCCATCTGTTCATGGCCGCTGCCTGTGTGCTCCTGCCCACTTACGACTGCCTGGTTAGCTCGGCTCTCACCCCCACCACTCTTTTAGCGGCGGAGATTTTTTTGAGGGTAGACGCGAAAATGCTACTTGAAGGGGCAGATCGTATGTGATATTAAGAAGCTCATAAGCAACTGTTGTGTTTAAAATTAGTGTTTATGTAATTTTCAGTTTACATCTCCAATATACAGTACGTGTGATTTGTTCCGGGCAGTCATATTTGTTCATAACTTTATTATTAGTAGGTCTGAGAGTTACCGGATCCAAGCAAACAGTTACCGGAACACACCCTTTCAAAATAAGATAGTTCACGGACCATGTTCCTGCAGGATCCGGCTCAAATTAAGCTCTGCTTTGGCATGAGCAGCTCACACATCTGAAAAGTTGTCTCCAATGTGATATAAATATAAACAGGCTTTAGAACAACTTGCACTCCTATTCAGCTCCTATGTCAGACAAGAACGAGAACATGCCTCTCCCAAAACTGGTCTCAGTTTCTAGATATTTAGACTCGTTAAAAAAAAGAGGGGATGCCTCTCAGTGGCAAACGTGGGCCTATCCTAACTTTTTTGAAACGTGTTGCTGCCATCAAATCAAAATTGTCTTTATATTTTCCTAAAAGTGGTTCACTTTCTTTAGTTTACACATTTGATTTGTGTACTTTGTAGTAATTGGAGTTGCACATTTGCCCAAAACTTCATTTTAACAAATTATCATCTTTAATATTTGGCAAACTACTGAGAAGTGACATTTTGAACCCATTAAAGTGTTTTAGGCTTTTAAAGTTAGCACAGTATGGTGTAAGTCTGTGTGAATTCACGAGTGTCAAATAAAAACTCTGTTCATGTTTTAAAAGACGTGAAGTTTTTTTACATTTTATGGGTGAATTTTAATGGTGGGGCTTCCCCTGTCAACACGAACAGACGAGACAAAGAGACGTTTTTCTGTGAAGGAAGTTCAGGCATTTAGCTGAAGGAATGTGGAGTAACCTTTTATCATCTTAAAGTTCTGGACAACTTTTCACCGAACTGCTATAAAACTATTATTGCTGTGTGAATTTATATTCAATATTTAGTCATCATTGATCATGATAGATTAAACTTTGGCAGGCAGAATTTTATTTGGCGCAACTAAACGCGACCAAAGTTCACAAATCTTTGTTCATTCAAAGCGTTGGCTGCTTTTATGACATTGTCAACTTTACTATTAGTCACGTGAGTGGGACAGTACTGGATACTGTACTGTACAGTAAAAAATTAACGAAAAAATAAAATACTTCGGACAGGCGTCGCCATTTTGTAGTTTTCTCTCAATAAGCTTCCACTGTATCCCTTCACATAACGACTACATTTCCCAGAAGCCAACAGTACCCCTCCCAGAAGCCCCGTTTCCTTCTGCTGAAGAACTAAAGGGAAAGTTTTGACCGTATCGGAAAAAGTTTGGTGCTTATTACAGTGACTTTGGCGCCCAGCGGATTCAGAGATTTGCATGAAACCCACCGAACCGGACCAGAACCAGACGTCCACCCATTGGTGGATCTTGAGAGCTGGTAGACGGCCCACGAGGACTTCTAAGTGTGGACGCACTGCTGTAGATCCACTCCATCCAGAGCCCATTGGGACTTTTTTCATCCAGACTTGGACTCAATCGACCACCTCCTGTCTGTGCCGGCCAACCAAAGGTCTGGCCCACTTCAAAATGTGCTTAGGCACTGAACCGAACCAGAACCAAACCTCCAGACTCAGAGAGACATCCTCAGTCCACAAGGACTTGCCGCCCTAGGTCCAGGGCTCCACCGGGAATATTTTCTTCTCTCAGGTCGGACCGGAACTGAGCCGCTCCCGTTCTGCAGAGCCTGGTAAATAAAATTTAGTAACTACATATAAGTATGTTGTTAAAATTAGTAGGTTTAAGAGTTTAGAACATTGATTGTGGGCTTCGTCGTTGCAGGGTGCATCTGCAGAAACGGAACAGAGTTGGACCGGAACCGAGAGCTGTTGCTGTTCTGCAGAGCATGATAAGTAAAATTTAGTAGCTACATATACAGTACTGTATGTATGTTGTTAAAATGACACAAGTTTAAGAGTTTAGAACATTGCAAGAGTGTGGGAAGTGTTTCTAAAGCCTTAAAATATATATAAATACAAAAATAAATATAGTGGATTTTCACTTACTGCGGGGGGGGGGGGGGGGACTAACTCCTGCAATAAACGAGGGACTACTGTATCTGTTAAAGCTGTATAAATAGGAACATTATACTAAAGAAGTGTTTTTACTGTTTACATATTTCACATTGCATATTTTGGAGGATAGATTTGCCGCCCAGAACCTCACACTTTATGCTTAATGTCATAGTGAGTGTTTATTCTCTCCCTTCACTTGGGATGCATTGTGAATTGTTGTTACAAAGTGTGCACAGACCATGCTAACAGGAGTGGGTGTCGATGTGTCACCAGAAAGCTGACTCACTGATTAAAAAAAAAAAAAAAAACAGGCTGCGTGTGTTTTCTAAACTTCTATTTGACAGCTTGACCACTTTATCTTAAGGAAGCCCGTTTCTGCCAAATGTAAATAAATAAAACGTCTACTGGTATGTCATAATTTTGACTTTCAAAGTTTACAAATTTGAAGATTTATCACTTTGTATGTCAAAATTTGGACTTGGTCGTAATTTTGAAATTGAAAGTCAAAATGACTTTCAAAGTCAAAATTTTGACCTTGAAATTTTGACAAAATTTCGACTTTCAAAGTATTTCGACTTTCAGTATCATGATTTTGACTTTCAAAGTCGTAATTTCAACTTTCAAGGACAAAAGTTCAACTTTCAAAGTGAAAATTTCGACTTAAAACGTTTGTCTTTGAATGTTGAAATTTTGACTTTGAAAGTTGAACTTTTGACCTTGAAAGTTGAAACTACGACTTTGAAAGTCAAAATTACGACTTTCAAAGTTTAAATACTTTCAAAGTCAAAAGTTCGACTTTTCAACGTCAAAATTTTAACTTTCATAGTCAAAAATTTGACTTCAAAATTTGGACTTTGAAAGTTGAAATCATGGCACACCATTGGACATTTTAATTATTTTCATTGGCAGAAACAGGCTTCCATATTTTCTCAAATGGAAATCACACAGCACCAAAACAAGAGGAAAAAACAGTCCCAATGCTTTGACAAGTTATAACTTCAGATTGCTCTATTTAGAAATCAGCACACAGATCGTATTTACAACCTTACAAGAAAACTATCAGTAAACAAAACAGGCAATGCTTTTCAAAATTAGAACATTACGTACAGTTTCTGAGTTAATGAACACTGTTTTTAAAAACGTTATTTTAAATGTCAAGCTTTTACATTAGTGCAACCTTCCAGTAGGTATTTCTTTTCTTTTCTTGGAGTAAAAAAATTCAGATTTTCTTCCTTGTTCATGCTTCACTCCATCGTCGATCTCTTTGTTTGGCTTATCGAAGATGATGTGGAACCTCCACCTAGAAAAGAATGTTAGATGTTAATGATGGGGGGAAAAGGCAGATAGAAGCTGAATCATACCACAAAGGTCAACAATTGGATGCTTCACAGCACCAGCCAGACTGTTTCCAGCCATGTTAACGCTGTGAAGTGTCAGGTCAGTTATCAAAGTTCCGGAGAATGGATTCTATAAATACCTGCAGCGCTGAGGGGATGGAATGTAACAGCTACACCGAGAGACCCCCATTATCTGAGGGCAGAGATGATTTTCCACAACAACGTGACGAGCTGTGTAATGGCTCCTCTTAACAATAAAAACACTTCCTCTACTGAGGTGCTACCTATTAGTTTTAATATTTGTTTATTGTGTGAATGTTTATGAAGCATCCACACCACTGTGATCCATTTTTCTTCCGTATATTTTTCTGCATCGTTCTCGTTCCACAATGTTTGTGCTATTTCAACTCGTATATCAAAACGTTCAGCTCTTTCAGGATAATCTTGCTATGACTTTTGGTGTTGGTGCAACTTTAGCTTTTTGAAATATTTAGCCTTTTCTGCCACTTTCTTTTCATAGAAAATGAATTGAGCTCATTTTACATCCTTCAAATCTTTAGATCTGTTTACAACCTTTTACTGCTTCTTTCACATTTTGTTCTGGTTCAGCTTATTTCAGCTTCTTTGTGCAAATTTAAACTTTTTTCCAGCTAATTTCAGCTGTTTTTTCAGCTGTTTTGTGCTCCTTTCAGATTCTTTCTGCAAACTACAACATTTTTGTGCTTCTTCTAACTTCTTTCTGCTCATTTCTGCAAGTTTCAGCACTTTCTGCTATTTCAGCAACTATTTAGCTGTTATGTTCATTTGAGCTTTTTCAGCTAATTCCACATTTTTCTCACTAATATCAACGTTTTTCAGCCTAATTCAGCAAAAATGTGCTCTCTCCACTTCCTTCTGATAATTTTAGCTTCTTTCTGCATTTTTAGCATTTTTCCAGCTCTTTTTTTCTAATTCCAGCTTTTTCAAATCATTTCTACTATTTTTAGTTAATTTCTGCTTATTTCAACCTAATTCTGCCAAATTGTGCTCTCTCTACTTACTTTTGCTAATTTAAGCTTGTTCTACATTTTCAGCTAACTGTTTAGCATGTTTAGCTATTTCAGGTGTTTTCAGATAAATTAACATTTTTTGTGGTAATTTTTGCTACTTTCAGCCTAAGTAACGTCTTTCTGGTAATTTCAGCTTAGTATGCTCTTTTTAGCTTTTTTCTGCAAGTTTGCGCATTTTCTGCTTTTTTAGCTACTATTTAGCTCTTTTATGCTCATTTGAGCTTTTTTTTATTTATTTATTCAGCTAATTCTACATTTTTTGCACACATTTCAACATTTTTCAGTCTAATTCAGCAAAAATGTGCTCTCTTCACTTTTGGTAATTTCAGCTTCTTTCTGCATTTTTAGCTACTTTTCAGCTATTTTTTGCTAATTTCAGCTTTTTCAGATAATTTCAACTTTTTTTTTTTTTAGCTAATTTCTGTTTATTTCAGCCTAATTGGGCAAAATTATGCTCTCTACTTACTTTTGCTAATTTAAGCTTGTTCTACATTTTCAGCTAACTTTTTTGCATTTTTAGCTCATTTCAGATGTTTTCAGATAAATTCAAGTTTTTCATGGTAATTTCAGCTACTTTCCGCCTAATTAACTTCTTTCTGCTATTTTCAGCTTAGTATGCTCCTTTCAGCGTTTTTCTGCAAGTTTCAGCAATTTCTGCTATTTCGGCTACCATTTAGCTGTTTTATGCTAATTTTAACTTTTTCAGCCTATTCCACATTTTCACACTCATTTCAGCTTTCCACTTCCATCTGGTAGTTTAAGATTCTTTCTTCCATTTCAGCTACATTTCAGCATAATTTTAGCTCATTTCAGCAGTTTTTCAGCCATTTCTACAGCAATAAGCATTCACACTGCATTTTTGCAGGAAATGCAATTTCTCTAGTTATCTTTGTTTTCCATTTCAGTTTTGGTGGCCTTAGGATCGCTTCTCTGTTTTTTGCAGATGATGTGGTCCTATTGGCTTCATCAGGTCATGATCTACAGCTTTTGCTGGAGAGGTTCACAGCCAAGTGTGACGTGGCCGGGATGAGGATCAGTTCCTCCAAATCCAAGGCCATGATCTTGAGCTGGAAAAGGGTAGAGTGCCCTCTCCGGGTTGGGGAGGAGGTCCTGCCCCAGGTGGAGGAGTTCAAGTATCTCGCAGTCTTGTTCACGAATGATGGAAAAATGGAGCGTGAGATCGATAGGCAGATAGGTGCAACATCGGCAGTGAAGCGGGCGCTGTACTGGTCTGTTGTGGTGAAGAGAGAGCTGAGTCAAAAGGCGAAGCTCTCAATTTACCGGTCGATCTACGTTCCTACCCTCATCTATGGTCATGAGCTTTGGGTTGTGGCCGAAAGAACGAGATCACGGATACAAGCGGCCGAAATGAGTTTTCTCTGCAGGGTGTCTGGGCTCTCCCTTAGAGACAGGGTGAGAAGCTCGATCATCCGGGAGGGACTCGGAGTAGAGCCGCTGCTTCTCCACATCGCGAGGAGCCAGTTGAGGTGGCTCGGGCATCTGGTTAGGATGCCTCCTGGACGCCTCCCTGGTGAGGTGTTCCAGACACGTCCCACCGGGAGGAGGCCCAGAGGAAGACCCAGGACACGCTGGAGGGACTATGTTTCTCGGCTGGCCTGAGAATGCCTTGGGATTCCCCCGGAGGAGCTGGCCCAAGTGGCTGGGGAGAGGGAAGTCTGGGCCTCCCTACTTGGGCTGCTACCCCCACGACCCGACCCCGGATAAGCGGAAGAAAATGGATGGATGGATGGATGGATGGATGGATGGATGGATCTTTGTTTTCCATTTCAGCTGATCATCCACTTCAGGATAAAAATACAAAACATGACAAGCCTGGCTCACTCTATCATTGTCTGTATTCTCTGTTCTTGTCTGGGTGTGAAAGCGTTGGGCTGGTGCTGCACACACCGAGATGATTCAGACACCACCGACTCCGTGTCATCCTCGTCTAAATTTACCTCCCATCTGGGCTGATTTCAGTTTAGAGATCTGCAGTTTTTCAACATCTCACCCGTCTCAGGTTGCGGACGCTGCTGGTGCGGATTGACTCCATCAGCTGATCGTGGGCAGACCTCATGGGGGTGGATGGCCTGCTGCCCTCCTCCCCTCTTCTGTCCGCAGCCATGGGCCTCAAGGCATTCTTTAACTCCTTCAGGATGCTGCTCGTCTCATCTTTACTCGTCCCTTTCCCCTTCTTGGCCTTCTTCCCTTTTGTTTTGGTCACCTTTTTGCTGCCCTCATGGGCCTTGATGACCTCTGCAATCATCCTCGTGGGCTTCTTCTTCTCTTGCTGTGGGAAAGACGGTGCCGGGGGAGGAGGAGGTGGTGGGGGTGGAGGAGGAGGAGGTGGCGCTGGGGGAGTTTGTTTTCTAGCCGGGTCATTTCGTGGCAGCTTGGGTGAGGACCAAGGGGAAGTGTACGGTGATGAACTAAGTGTTCCTTTCTACAGAAAATAAAAAGAAAATGATTACAAACAAATACTTTTAAAAATACAGCAAAAAGTAAAAAATACCATAAGACAAAGTGCTATATTTAATAAAACATTTCAGATAAAATAGTCTGGCTTCATCACGTCTGAAAATATTTATAGTTTTATTACCCCCAACGGAGCATTTTCAGACTGCAGGTTTACTTGTGGTTCCTATAGGTTCTAAAAGTAGAATGGGAGGCAGCGCTCTCACTTATCAAGATCTTCTCTTGAAGAACCAGCTCCCAAATTTTGTTCACAAGGCTGATACTATGTCTACCTTCAAATTTGATCTATGAACATGTAACCAGGTATGGTTGACCTAAACTGGAGTAATTTTAATATGATTTAACTATAGGTAACTGAATTTGATTTGGACTTCTTTACTTTTTTTCTGTTTGCCGTCCTAAGTCTGGAGTGGTGGCAAATATGTAACAAATTTTCCAACTGAATTGAGCTCAACACTCCAGCCCTGATCCTTGGTGAGATGAGCAGCATCTAACCAGTGAAGATGTTCGAGGGTTCACGGGTCCGTCTTGCCCCCCCTGCAGTAGCTGCCTCTGCTCCTGCAGCCGTTTCTGTCTCTGGCGGTCTTGGTTCCTGGTCAGGATCCCGGTCATGCTCATTCTGGGACCAGGGAGGTTGAATTGGTAACCCAGTTTGATCAAAGTATAGTTTTCCCTCAGAATCTTCACCATCTCCATTTCCACCTGCAGGAGGTTAAAGAAACATCATTATCGTCACGGTGGTGCGAGGAGACCTGAGATAAGTTTGACTTGGGCTGACACGGACCTGTCCTCCACACATGTGTCTCTGGTTGTGGAACCGAAGCTCAGTCAAGGTGTTGTTCCCTGGAAGTGCTTGAACCAACGCCATCACACCCTTTCCACTCACATAGTTGGACTCTATATTCAGACTGATGATGGACGAGTTCTCCTTCAGCATCTTAGCAATGGCCAGAGCTACGTGGTCATCGGCCCGAGTGTTTGCAAGACTGAACACTCGTACATGGCTGTTGGGTCTTAGCGCTTCAGCAAATCGAATGAGGGTTTCCTAAATGAGAATATCTGTGTTAGTTTGTGGGTCATAAGCACGCACAAATGCAACTAAAAGTCACGGAGCATTTTGTTTAGTTCCCAGTCACAGAAGGCCTTACTACTAAACGCGCTGAGAGCTTGGTAATCAACATAAACTTGTTAAAACCTTTGTGACTATTTATGATCATACATCTCAGAATCCATGAGACTGTCTAAAACGAAGATAACCAAAACCAAACCTGAGCTTGGATCCTTCAAACTAGGGATGCACGATATTATCGGCATGGTATCAGCCAATATTAGAGTTAAAGTTCAATATTGGACATCGGCCATTCCATCAAAATAACTCACCGATATAAAAGGTGCTGTTTTTGTATGACAACCCATTGACAAGGATGCCTGCAACGCCAGCACAACGTGATGACGTCACGTGTGCCTACCTGATCTCAAGGCGGAGAGGAAAATTCAAAATGTCAGCGGTGTGGAAGTTTTTTTCGTTGAGGATGTCAGATTACAGAGATTTTTGGATTACATTGAGCCTTGCTACATCGTCCCCAGTCTGAGATATTTTTCCAACGTAACCTTACCAGAGTTACAAGCCGTCATTTCCGACATCATTGAAAAGCTAACAGCCGATAGCACTTGGGTGAGTTTTACCACAGACATTTGAAAGTCGTGTTAGCCCCGTTAGCATTAGTCTAACCCATTAATCTTACGGCACAAAGGATAGACAAAAACTTTGAACTTAAAAAAGGCTGTCCTTCAGGCACAAGAGTGCAGAGGATCCCACATTGCAGCTAGGAACCCGCTA